TGGGCCAGTGAAGCAACGTCCTCCACAACTAGACTGAAGAACAAAACGACAGCAACTTGTCTGTTCCCCTTCCCCCAATTCCCCAGCATTGTTCCCATCCCCTCAATACCCCAATTAAAAAAAAAATCTTTAAAAAAAAAAAAAGGATGACAGGTGGAAACTACATAGGGCAAAGGTATTTGGGGGTAGTGGTATAGAATTGGTGGTTGGGGCAGTTAAAAAATTGGTTAGTAAAAAAAAAAAGTCAGGTATGAGGGGTTAATGAAAGTGAAGTGTGGACAGAGTAGTCAATGGGTGACAGGGAAGGAGGGGGCAGTTGAGGATGTCTATAGGTAAAGAAGGTGAGCACAGGTCAGTTGCACAGATCCTGAATTAGGGGAAGCCAAATATGATCTGAGGGTCAGTTTGGGTGGGCAGAAAAAGCAGCCGAGAATGCTAGTTAGGAGAGTGCCTGTAGGAAGCATAAGTGATGGAAAAGGCATTGAATTGGAAACTTTATCCAAGGGCAACTGAGGATGGGCTGAGAAAGCAGTAGGTGAGGCAAGGAAAGGAGGGAGCGTTTAGGGCTGAGGTGGCAGATGGGATAGCGCTGGGCTGAAAAGGTAGGAGGGGTTTAAATGGGATGTCCTGGGCCACAGGGGGTAAGCTGAACTCGGGAGGAGAGGGGGACAGCTGGGAGCTGAGGGGCATTCAGACCTCAGGCAGTTGGGTCTAAATGGGTGGCCTAGATCTGAGAGACGGCATACGGCTTACGGAAGCTAGACGGAGTACTCAACAGTTGACCCAGCGGGTAGCCGAGGCCTTGGAGGGCAGCCTATGTCTGACTGGGCAGATGAGGACCTGAGGGGTCAGGCTGGTCTGGGGGGAGTGGGGTACGCGTGGGGGCGCGGGTAGCCCTGCCTGGAGGGAAGGGCCAGGCCTGAGGGTGTGGCTTCACCTAAGGGGGCTATGGGGACTGGGGCATGGCCCGGCCTTCGGGAGCAGACAAGCATGAACACAGAATTGGAGGTGTGAGCTATGGATGTGGCCCCCAGGTGGCGAGCCCATGCCTGAAGGGGCAGACTGGGGCTGGAGGGGGCCAGGCTAGATTGGGAAGGGGTCCTGGGCCTGAGGCGGCACCCAGGCCTGAGGCGGCGGCCTGGACCTCAGGCGGCGGCCCGGGCCTCAGAGGGTGGCCTGGGCCTGAGGCGGCGGCCCGGGCCTGCCGGGATGCCAAACTTGAGGGCCAGGCGGGGACGATGTCGCCGCTGACCGCACTTGGTCACAGCACCTGAGGCAGCCGCGCGGCGAATTCGAGAACCATAAGCCGGGCGGGGAGGAAGAGCGAGACACCACAGGACAGAAGGAGGAGCCGGCCGGCACCGCGCCTGGGGGCGGGGCCAGCGCTGAGCCACCTCCTGGGCGGGGCACGGCGAGCGGCTCCGCTCCCTGAGCGCGCCTCCGATGGCGGCAACGTGCGCGGGCGCGGGGTCTGGGTTCCCTCCAGGTTCTGCTCCCACCTTTCCTGGCTCTTCAGCAGCCGGTAACCCTCCGGAATCCCGGCGTCCTGCTCGCCCCTTTGTGCCCGCAACTTGGTTCTCCCGTCCCCTCCCGGTGGGCCCCACAGTCCCAAGGACATTGCCCCTTTAACAGTAGTCCAGGTCGCTCCCGGGCCCTTCTTAGGGCAGCGCGCGCCCGTCCACCCGCGTGCGCGCGCCCGTCGGTCCTCCGCCCCTCGCTCCCGCCCCAGCTCGCGCTGCCCCGGCGGGCGCCGGCCGCTGGCGCCGCTCCTGCTGCTGCCCCGGGGCGCGAGTCTGCTGCCCGCCGCCCGGGGACCCGGCAAGGGGCGGGGGCAGCCCCGAACCGACCCAGGTTCTTCCCTTCTTCTGTCTCACGCTTCTCGGAAAGTTGTCCCTTTATACTCTGCCGAGTCGCCCCGGGAGCCTTGCCGCGACGAGGTGAGAGCTGGGGGAGAGGGGGGGTTAGGGAGGGGACGCCCGCGGAGGAATGTGCCAGGCTGGGGGCGGGGAGCCGGGGTCCTTGTTTGCACGACCCGGCGGGGGCTGGCTGGCCGGGAGAGCCGGGATCATGTGCTATTTGTTCCGCGGAGGCGCAGAGAGGTGCCAGGCCCGGGGCGGCCTTCGGTTGGCTGGACAGGAGGACAGGGTCTGCATGGCCTCTCAGAAAGGCTGGGACGGGGCCTGTGTGAGAACTGCCGGGAGTGCAAGGTGCAGGTGGCCCAAGGTCCCCTTTCGGTTGGGTCGGCCCCATCCCAGCCGCGGCTCCTGCCAGTACCCCACTGCTCCTTTTCGCTGCACCGGCTGACCCCTGTACCTATCCCTTAGACGTTTACCTCGCTATTCCCTAGCGGTGTCACCCCATTCCCACTCATTAGTCACTAGGGCGTCACCATTGCGTGTTCCCACCAGTGTCCCTTCTCTTCCCTGGTCAGGGTCTGGGGGTCAGGCTTGTTCTTCCTGAGAAAGCCTCTGATTTCAGCTACTCCCTTCCTGTCCTGGGACAGACCAGCTCTCTCACTCCGCCCCCCATCCCATGCCCTGGCCAGGAAGGCTGGTGAGGTGAGACCCAGAATGACGGGTTTGAGGTCCTTCAGGGCCACAGAAGGGGCCCCAGCATCCCTGATCTCTCATCACAACTCTCCACCCTACTGTCTGTGGGCGTGAGCTGCTCAGCCTCTCCTCCCAGGGTGTGGGCACCTGATCACCCACATTCCTGGCTCTAGCCTGGCACCTTCCCCAGGACAGTGGACGCCATAGCACTAACCCCAGGCTGGGGCTGGGACCTTCCTGCTTCCTTTCCCCTCTTTCCTTTTAAAGGGAGATAGACCCCAGTGCTACCCTTCCCTTCCCATAAAGACACAGGTATTCTGGCTCCCCCAACAGAGGAGGCCTGGGGTTGATGGATGCAGGATGACCCCGCCCTCTCCTGCCTATTGTCCTGAATTCTGGGGAGGAAGTGCTGGGGGCTGGGCAAGGGGTTTGGGGCCACAGACTGGCCCTGTGGATAACAGTCCTGGGCTGTACCTCCAGCCCTTGAATTTTGCCCATTGGCAGCCCCTGCCTCTGTGTGGAGGTTGTGGGCCCTTGGTGGGAGCTGGTTGCTACTTCTCCCTGGCTGACTCTATGGGGGAATTTTAGGGTAGGTTTTATGTTTGGGATTTTCTCTCTTGTTTCTCTTCTGGAGCTCCCCTCCCTGCCTGTTTAAAACATTTCTGTGTTTGCCAGCCTCTGTGTCTCCCCTTCCTTTCTCCTCCCATTATTTCCTTCATAGCATGACCTCAGTCTTGCTTTCTCTCTTGTGTCTCTCGTTTTTTTGGTGTCTGTGACTTTCTCCCCCTCCTCTTCCCTCTTTCCACCACCCTCAGTGTCTCTGCCCATGTGTCCCTTTCTCTAAATTGCCCTCTGTCCAGCCTCTCTCTCCATTTTCTATCTGACGTTCAGTCCACTTGTGAGTGATGAGGAATAAAAATAATCACCGTCCCTGCCCTTGGATTCACATTGCATTTGGCCATTCCAGAGGGACAGCCATCCTTACTTTTCCTAACATTACCCCCCGATCCCTTGTTCTCCCTCCTGGGAACCCCAGACACACCTCTGGAGCCACAGGTGCCTCCTAACCACTCTTCCCCCACAACCAGGGTTCCCCCCACGGCCCCAGCTGGTGTGGCCAGGTCCCAAGTGTAGGATGGGGCTCCCCCTACGAGGGCCGGTGGCAGCCAGAACTGATACAGCCCCCCTGGTCTGGGGCCAGGACGACAGGTAACTCTGGGGTGACAGCTCAGATCCCTGCGAGCTGGGATATGGCTTGAGAGAGAGACAGGAACACCTTTGGGAGTTCCTGAGGAGAGTGACATTTGGGAGGAAGGCCAGGAAACTAGGAACTGGGTTCTTGAGGGGCTGGGTAGCTGAGGAAGGAGGGGCGGAGAGACTGGTTTCTGGGAGAAGCTGGGAGGCAATGTCTGGGTCTCCCCCAGCAACTCTAACGACCTCTTGTGTGTCTGTCCTTTAGCTGAGGAGGGTGGGGGTATCTGGAGCCATGGCTGGTGCCTCCGTGAAAGTGGCAGTGAGGGTTCGGCCCTTCAACGCCCGTGAGATCAGCCGTGATGCCAAATGTGTGGTCAGCATGCAGGGCAGCACCACCTGTGAGTGAGTCCCAAGGGCCTGGCTGGGCACAGGCTGAGCAGGCCAGGCCCACCATACAGGCCAGTCCTGCTGGGCCGAACCGGGAGGAGGGCTATGCCAGGCACAGAGCAGGTGCTAGTTATAAGGGTGGGGGTTGGGGCAGGCTGGCCTTTCCATGCTCCCAGTCCCTGGGAGGGGGAATGTTGGCCTGGAGCCCTCCATTGCCCAATCCAAGTAGGCAGCCCGGTGGGGGCGGGTCCTAGGAAGCCAAAATTAGCTTTGGTGGCGGGAGGGGGTGGGGAGTATTAAAGGGAAGAGATGAACTAGGATAGAGGTGGGGAGTGGGATGCCTGGATTCCAGGACTTGTGGGGAGCGGGCAGAGGTTGGGAGTACCTGACCTTGGCCTTCTTCCTTTGCCCTCTCAGCCATCATCAATCCCAAACACAGCAAGGATGCCCCCAAAAGCTTCACCTTCGACTACTCCTACTGGTCACACACTTCGGTGAGGTTATTGGGCTGGGAAAGAGCACTGAGCAATGAGGCACAGGGGATTTAGATCCTGGGAGGGGGCATTGCTGGAAAATAGGACCTTCAGGGGTGTGGTTGGGACTTGGGTGGGTAGGATGCTTAGGTTGTGACTGGGACCAGGATGGGGGAAAGAGAATCCCTTGGGATAATTAGGACTGCCAGGAGACTGGATAAGACCCTCAGGGACGATTAAGATGGTGATGGGGCATATGGGACCTTTGGGCAATTATCAGAAGTGGGGGCAAGACTCCTGGGACATAGACACTAAGGACAAAGTCATGTAGGACTCTTGCTGTCTTTCTCTGCCCCCTTTCCACCTAGGACGAGGACCCCCAGTTTGCATCTCAGCAACAGGTGTATCTGGACATTGGAGAAGAGATGCTGCTCCACGCCTTTGAAGGCTACAACGTGTGCATCTTTGCCTATGGGCAGACTGGGGCTGGGAAATCCTACACCATGATGGGGCGGCAGGAGCCGGGGCAGCAGGGCATTGTGCCCCAGGTACATGTCGAGATCTGGCAGGGAAGCCAGGGCGGGCGCACCTTCAGCTGCCCTTAGGCCAGGGGTCTGAGGATTATGGAGTAGAGAGTTGGCTCTTTGTAGGCCCTTAAAGATAAGAAATGTGATGGGAGATAGGGGGTGGCTACAACCTGGACATCTAGGACCCTTTCGGGAGAGGTTCTTTGCCTCCACCAGAAGCAACAAGGCTCAGCAAGAAGAGCCTAAGCTTTGGCATCAGGGAGCCCTGACTTTGAACCCTGGTTTTACCACTTACTATTGACCTTGTCTCATAATCGCTTGTGAGTCTACTTCCCCAGGCTTGTGTACCATAGTCAAGGTGGTGACTATAGAAAAAGCCAGTTGTGGATAACTGAGAGTTGGCCATAATTCTGCCTGGCTGTGCAGTGTAGTGGCCTTGCACACAGGGTCTGGAGTTTGGATGCCTGGGTTTGCTTCCTGGCTCACCGAATACTAGCGGGTGACTGGGCAAATGTGAACCTCTCTGAGGCTGCTTTCCCATCTGTCAATTGGGAATGACCATGGCTGAGGTTAGGGTTCAATAGGGCCACCTGAGATAGGGCCTGGCTTGTTGCTGGGTGCCACAGGTGTGCCGTAAACAGCAGCTTCTGTGTTCCTTCTAGCTCTGTGAGGACCTCTTCTCTCGTGTTAGCAAGAACCAGAATGCTCAGCTCTCCTATTCTGTGGAGGTAAGCCCGTGTCTAGGTGGGGGATGGGGAAGGGGCACATTGTTCCTGGGAAGGGAGGGGGAGAGCAGAGTGATTATGACCAAGGGAAGTCTCCAGAATCAGACAGCTTGGGATCCACTCCTGGCTCTTCCAGTTACTAACTGTGGCTTTGGGCAAGTGATTTCATCTTTCAGCTGCTGAGTATGTTCATCTGTGAAATAATAATGATGGGATCCCTGTCCTAGGGTTGTTGGGAGGGTCAGTGAGCTCCCATATGCAAAGTGCTTAGCACCGTGCCTGGTGCCTAGTAAATGCTCAGTGGATGTTAGCTGCAATCACCTGTATCATGCCCTGTGAAATGTAGGGTAAGTTTCATTGTCAGTATTTTACTCACTTATTACTTCTTATTTGCTTCTCCCACTCAGGTGAGTTATATGGAGATCTATTGTGAGCGGGTACGAGACCTCTTGAACCCCAAGAGTCGGGGCTCTCTGCGGGTCCGGGAGCACCCCATCCTGGGCCCCTACGTACAGGACCTGTCTAAATTGGCTGTGACCTCCTATGCAGACATTGCTGACCTCATGGACTGTGGAAATAAGGCGCGGTGAGGCGGGCCGA